TTCAGCCACGAGGGTTCTAATTGATTTTATAACCAGCATTTCTGTGACTTGGTTTTATCAGCGGCCACCACCTCATTTTTCCCCTGGACAGATATTACTTATTATAGAACATGATCCAAGTTAACTGAAGATTCGCTCTACACTCTCCTACTCTAGCTAACAAAAAAAATATGCAAATTGGTAAATTAAGCCAGTTTACATCACGTAAATTTTAACAGGATTAGAGTCCTTGGTTAGTTATGGTGTAAGCTAAAAACTCTCACATAAAACGTATACACAACTCATTACTTTTCTTGCAAGGTGGAGAAAGAGATGAGAATGTTCTGGCTATATTATTCTCCAAGTAATGGCTCCTTTCACTCACCCACCTGTATGTACAGATGGACGTGTCACCAAGGAACAATCACCTGGTCACAAGTTATTACTACAGTTTGTCTCTCTCGTAAGTAACAAGGCTGCCAGCCCCCTTCAATCTCGTAAATAACAAGGCTGCCAGCCCCCTTCAATCTCGTAAATAACAAGGCTGCCAACCCCCTTCAATCTCGTAGTAACAAGGCTGCCAGCCCCCTTCAATCTCGTAAATAACAAGGCTGCCACCCCCTTCAATCTCGTAATAACAAGGCTGCCAACCCCCTTCAATCTCGTAAATAACAAGGCTGCCAGCCCCCTTCAATCTCGTAAATAACAAGGCTGCCAACCCCCTTCAATCTCGTGAATAACAAGGCTGCCAGCCCCCTTCAATCTCGTAAATAACAAGGCTGCCAGCCCCCTTCAATCTCGTAAATAACAAGGCTGCCACCCCCTTCAATCTCGTGAATAACAAGGCTGCCAGCCCCCTTCAATCTCGTAAATAACAAGGCTGCCAGCCCCCTTCAATCTCGTAAATAACAAGGCTGCCAGCCCCCTTCAATCTCGTAAATAACAAGGCTGCCAATCCCCTTCAATCTCGTGAATAACAAGGCTGCCAGCCCCCTTCAATTTCGTGAATAACAAGGCTGCCAGCCCCCTTCAATCTCGTAAATAACAAGGCTGCCAGCCCCCTTCAATCTCGTAAATAACAAGGCTGCCAACCCCCTTCAATCTCGTAAATAACAAGGCTGCCAACCCCCTTCAATCTCGTAAATAACAAGGCTGCCAACCCCCTTCAATCTCGTAAATAACAAGGCTGCCAACCCCCTTCAATCTCGTAAATAACAGGGCTGCCAATCCCCTTCAATCTCGTGAATAACAAGGCTGCCAATCCCCTTCAATCTCGTGAATAACAAGGCTGCCAACCCCCTTCAATCTCATTTTTTTGCTCAACTCTGCACACCAACTGTACATACGTTAATTCTTGACACCTTAATTGCAAGTTCCACTCCTTCCATCCTTAAATATTCAATATTTCTTCACATGTTTACATTTCTAGTGAGACCCAGACATATCAAAATTATTCAGAGAACACCAAGAATTAATTTCCTTAAATATTTCAACTTAGCCTAATTCTGCTTCCACAATTTTCTTAAGACTTCCAATAGCAATTTCAAATTTATTTTCACTCCCTGTAAACTTACAAAAATACTCATATTAATTTAGTTAGTCGTTTAATTGAGTTTAAAGCCTATGGACACGAGGGCCATTATCATATAACCGCCAATCGAAATTACGTACTTAATCCCAAATTTGGGAATACTGGGATTAGACATATATATATATGTATATATGTATATATATATGTATATATGTATATATATATGTATATATGTATATATAGTTATATATGTATATATATATGTATATATGTATATTATATGTAGATATGTATATATATATATATAATATATATATATTATATATATATAATATAATATTATATATATTATGATTATATATATATATATATATATGAGAGGAGAGAGAGAGAGAGAGAGAGAGAATGGAGCGAAACAGAATGACTTCAAGAGTGTATCAGTCTGTAGTGGAAGGAAGGCGGGTAGGGGTCGGCCTAGAAAGGTTGGAGGAGGGGTTAAAGGAGGTTTTTGTGTGCGAGGGGCTTGGACTTCCAGCAGGCATGCGTGAGCGTGTTTGATAGGAGTGAATGGAGACAAATGGTTTTTAATACTTGACGTGCTGTTGGAGTGTGAGCAAAGTAACATTTATGAAGGGATTCAGGGAAACTGGCAGGCCGGACTTGAGTCCTGGAGATGGGAAGTACAGTGCCTGCACTCTGAAGGAGGGGTGTTAATGTTGCAGTTTAAAAACTGTAGTGTAAAAGCACCCTTCTGGCAAGACAGTGATGGAGTGAATGATGGTGAAAGTTTTTCTTTTTCGGGTCACCCTGCCTTGGTGGGAATCGGCCAGTGGGTTAATAAAAATATATATATATATTATTGCAACAATTGTTTAAATTTGAAACTCAATTATTCCTTTCTTTCCTCACCAGAAGGAATTTGTACAAGGTAATAAAATATATATTTTTGTTACTGGGGCTAGTTATAGTGTTATATCCTCATAACTATTAATAGGTGTATGTTAGGCGTGTCCTTAATATATTACAAATTTTTAAATTATACAAACATCTGTAAATTCAACTAGGCTGAAGTTAGCTATTGTTTATAAGTGATTAGTATATATCAGTAATATTTTAGGTACTTACTGACCAACACGAGGTAGGTATCGGTCTATCTTCCATCTCTCTGTCCCTCCCTCCCCATCTCTATCTCTGTCTCTCTGTATCTCTATCTTTCTCTCTCTATCTCTCTCTATCTCTGTATCTCTCTGTATCTGTCAATCTCTGTCTCTCTCTGTATCTCCCTGTATCTCTGTATCTCTCTGTATCTGTCAATCTCTGTCTCTCTCTGTATCTCTATCTCTGTCTCTGTCTATCTCTCTCTCTCTCTCTATCTGTGTGTGGGCGTGTACTCACCTATTTGTGGTTGCAGGGGTCGATTCACAGCTCCTGTGTGTGTGTCCTTACATCAACAATATGGCAACTCACTCATGAAATATTCACAGGGGGAGAGGGGTGCGGGTCGTCAATATTTAGTGGGTTAAATGCACGACCAGCAAGAGTCGTACCGTTAAGACAGTACATCAGTCAAAACTGTTGTTACCATCACTGTGTACTGGTATCAGTCTTGTCGTAATATTTTCACTACCTTATCTGTCCAGTACAGATAATTAAACCTAACTACTGGAAAATACCTGGATGTTTTGGGGGGTCAACGCCCCCGCGTTCCGATGTGACCAGGCCTCGCGGTAAATCAGGACTTGATCAACCAGGCTGTTACTGTTGGCCGCACGCAAGCCGACGTAGGAACCACAACCCGGCTGGTTAGGTACTGACTTCAGGTGTGTGTCGAGCGCCTTCTTAAAGACAGCCAGAGTTCTACTGTTATTACCACCAGTAAATCTTCCCAGCACACACAACTACGCCAAACTACCACTACTACCACCACTTGAGTCTTACCAACACTCTTACTCCATATTTAAGGGGGATCACTAAGGACCCCTTCACGAGGAACAGTGTGGTTCCGTCAGGTAGGTCTTGATCAGCCAGACTGTGGTGTCTACACTGACTTACACCATGGACCATTAAGCCTGGTTAGGGAAACAGGGGGCGATGACCCCCGAAAATAATAACAGACAGACATATAGACCACCCACCAACACCACTCTCATCACCACTACAACCACACCCACCACTATACTACCACACCAACACTACTACAACCACACCCACCACTATACTACCACACCAACACCACTACAACCACACCCACCACTATACTACCACACCAACACTACTACAACCACACCCACCACTATACTACCACACCAACACTACTACAACCACACCCACCACTATACTACCACACCAACACTACTACAACCACACCCACCACTATACTACCACACCAACACTACTACAACCACACCCACCACTATACTACCACACCAACACTGCTACAACCACACCCACTACTATACCACACCAACACTGCTACAACCACACCCACCACTATCTACCACACCAACACCACACACAACTACAACCCACCACTATCACACTCGCACTACTACCACCACCACCACTACAACCACACCACCACTATACTACCACACCAACACCACCACAACCACACCCACCACTATACTACCACACCAACACCACCACAACCACACCCACCACTATACTACCACACCCACTATCATAACACTCGCGCCACTACAACTACACCCACCACCATCGCACCCGCACCACTACCACCACCAATACAACCACACCCACTGCCATAAACACTACCATCACCACACTCCCACCATCAAACACGCATTACTACCACCATCCCCCCGATTACCATCATCATCCCGACTATCACCATCCTCCCGACTACCACCATCCTCCCGACTACCACCATCCTCCCTCTACTACCATCCTCCGACTACCACCATCCTCCCGACTACCACCATCCTCCCGACTACCACCATCCTCCCGACCACCACCATCCTCCCACTACCACCATCCTTCCAACTACCACCACCATCCCCACCAACCACCACCATCCCCACCAACCAGCACCATCCCACCAACCCCACCATCCCACCAACTACCACCACCATCCCCACCAACCACCACCATCCCACCAACCACCACCATCCCCACCAACCACCACCATCCCCATCCCCACCAACCACCACCATCCCCACCAACTACCACCAACCACCACCACCAACCACTACTCGGCACTCACAAGGGACACTGAGGGTAAACTATTAACATCTGGCACCTCAGAAGTTGGCACCCTCACTGCCGTTCACCAGTGTCACCCTTATCCTCTCTGCATCCTTCTTCGCCTATTTCACCCATCACTTGACCCATTTCCTACTTTCCAAACTAGTTAAACACCATACAACGAGCCTAACTAGCCAATTACACCAGGAAATAATGCTTTTCAAATTAGCACTTGTATCGTACACGTAGCAAAGTAATTAATATTATATACAGGTGTCAGACTTACCTACTGTGACAACTGCAAGTTGAGAAGACAAGAGAGTGAATAACGTGTAAATATGGAAGGAAGGAAGTGGGAGGCCTGAAACAGGTCCCAGAGAACACGAGTACACACACCCTCACTCTGACAAGGCTCACAGCCTACTGACTGGTGCCACTCACGGTTGTGCACTGTTCTTACAGCTTGCTGGGTGCCATCTGTGCCAACCACTCGCTCTATACTTGAGTTTTATTTAATGCGACGCTGAAGAAGTGGTTGTAATGCATGACTGTCCTTGCAATGCATGACTTGTCTTGTATGCCAAGGACACCATTGGGTCACTTTGATTTTTTGGGTTATTCTGGGTTCTCTACATATGTGCTGCTATGTATGATAATCTATGTAACTGTATTTGTGTATACTTGAATACACTTACTGTATTTGTAGTGTATGGTTGTCCTTGTAATGCATGCCTGTCCCTGTAATTCATGGTTGTCCTTGTAATGCATGACTGTCCCTGTAATTCATGGTTGTCCTTGTAATGCATGCCTGTCCCTGTAATTCATGGTTGTCCTTGTAATGCATGCCTGTCCCTGTAATTCATGGTTGTCCTTGTAATGCATGACGTCCCTGAAATTCATGTTTGTCCTGTAATGCAAGACCGTCCCTGTAATTCATGCTTGTCCTTGTATTGCATGTCCTGTCCCTGTAATTCATGTTTGTCCTTGTAATGCATGACTGTCCCTGTAATTCATGTTTGTCCTTGTAATGCATGACTGTCCCTGTAATTCATGTTTGTCCTTGTAATGCATGACTGTCCCTGTAATTCATGTTTTCCTTGTAATCAAGTCTGTCCCATGTAATCATGTTTTCCTTGTAAATGGCATGACTGTCCCTGTAATTCAGTTTGTCCTTGTAAAGCATGACTGTCCCTGTAATTCATGTTGTCCTGTAATGCATGACTGTCCCTGTAATTCATGTTGTCCTTGTAATGCATGACGTCCCTGTAATTCATGTTTGTCCTTGTTAATGCATGTCTGTCCCTGTAATTCATGTTTGTCCTTGTAATGCATGACTGTCCCTGTAATTCATGTTTGTCCTTGTAATGCATGACTGTCCCTGTAATTCATGTTTGTCCTTGTAATGCATGACTGTCCCTGTAATTCATGTTTGTCCTTGTAATGCATGTCTGTCCCTGTAATTCATGTTTGTCCTTGTAATGCATGACTGTCCCTGTAATTCATGTTTGTCCTTGTAATGCATGACTGTCCCTGTAATTCATGTTTGTCCTTGTAATGCATGACTGTCCCTGTAATTCATGTTTGTCCTTGTAATGCATGTCTGTCCCTGTAATTCATGTTTGTCCTTGTAATGCATGACTGTCCCTGTAATTCATGTTTGTCCTGTAATGCATGACTGTCCCGTAATTCATGTTTGTCTATGAGTATTGCATGTTCTGTCCTGTAATTCATGTTTGTCCTTGTAATGCATGTCTGTCCCTGTAATTCATGTTTGTCCTTGTAATACATGTCTGGGGCTGTAATGTACACTAATCTTAATTTTTAAAGTGGTGGAGGGGTAAGCCAGTGGAAGGCGTCGGTCAGATGACCAAAAACTCCAGCTGTGGGTCACCATATAACTAAGACCCGCCTCAGGAAACACTTGTCCTGTTTCCTGACCAATCTTCCCTAACCTAACCCTGTGATGTCATTAATATTAGTTATACCTCGTAGGGCTTACTCACCACCTCGGAATGCGAGGTTATCAGGTCTGATCCAGGGAAGGGGAGTGTTCAGAGTCCTGTCACTGTACATGTATTTACCTATATATTAATCCAAGACCCCCCTCCTCCCTCCCCAATGCAACGACCTTTTTACAAGTGGAGCTGAAAGGTCCATTAATGTCACGGAAGAGCAGGTCACTACTAAATGATAACGTTGAACAATGTGAGAGGATGTGGTAGGGTGAGGTTGGATGGGGGTGAGGTGAGGATGTCTGGAGTGGGGGGTTAAGATGGCTGGGTGTAGGGTTAAGATCAGATGGGTGGGGTTAAGATGGCTGGGTGTAGCGTTAAGATAGATGGGTGGGGTTAAGATGGCTGGGTGTAGCGTTAAGATAGATGGGGTGGGGTTAAGATGGCTGGGTGTAGCGTTAAGATAGATGGGTGGGGTTAAGATGGCTGGGTGTAGCGTTAAGATAGATGGTGGGGTTAAGATGGCTGGTGTAGGGTTAAGATAGATGGGTGGGGGTTAAGATGGCTGGGTGTAGGGTTAAGATAGATGGGTGGGGTTAAGATGGCTGGTGTAGGGTTAAGATAGATGGGTGGGGTTAAGATGGCTGGGTGTAGGGTTAAGATAGATGGGGTGGGGTTAAGATGGCTGGGTGTAGGGTTAAGATAGATGGGTGGGGTTAAGATGGCTGGGTGTAGCGTTAAGATAGATGGGTGGGGTTAAGATGGCTGGGTGTAGGTTAAGATAGATGGGGTGGGGTTAAGATGGCTGGGTGTAGGTTAAGATAGATGGGGTGGGGGTTAAGATGGCTGGGTGTAGGTTAAGATAGATGGGTGGGGTTAAGATGGCTGGGTGTAGGTTAAGATAGATGGGTGGGGTTAAGATGGCTGGGTGTAGGGTTAAGATAGATGGGGTGGGGTTAAGATGGCTGGGTGTAGGTTAAGATAGATAGGGTGGGGGTTTAAGATGGCTGGTGTAGGTTAAGATAGATGGGTGGGGTTAAGATGGCTGGGTGTAGGTTAAGATAGATGGGGTGGGTTAAGATGGCTGGGTGTAGGTTAAGATAGATGGGTGGGGTTAAGATGGCTGGGTGTAGGGTTAAGATAGATGGGGTGGGGTTAAGATGGCTGGGTGTAGGTTAAGATAGATGGGTGGGGTTAAGATGGCTGGGTGTAGCGTTAAGATAGATGGGGTGGGGTTAAGATGGCTGGGGTGTAGGGTTAAGATAGAAGGGGTGGGGTTAAGATGGCTGGGTGTAGGGTTAAGATAGATAGGGTGGGGTTAAGATGGCTGGGTGTAGGTTAAGATAGATGGGTGGGGTTAAGATGGCTGGGTGTAGGGTTAAGATAGATGGGGTGGGGTTAAGATGGCTGGGTGTAGCGTTAAGATAGATGGGTGGGGTTAAGATGGCTGGGTGTAGCGTTAAGATAGATGGGTGGGGTTAAGATGGCTGGGTGTAGCGTTAAGATAGATGGGTGGGGTTAAGATGGCTGGGTGTAGGTTAAGATAGATGGGTGGGGTTAAGATGCTGGGTTGTAGGGTTAAGATAGATGGGGTGGGGATTAAGATGGCTGGGTGTAGGTTAAGATAGATGGGTGGGGTTAAGATGGCTGGGTGTAGGTTAAGATAGATGGGTGGGGTTAAGATGGCTGGGTGTAGGGTTAAGATAGATGGGTGGGGTTAAGATGGCTGGTGTAGCGTTAAGATAGATGGGTGGGGTTAAGATGGCTGGGTGTAGCGTTAAGATAGATGGGTGGGGTTAAGATGGCTGGGTGTAGGGTTAAGATAGATGGGTGGGGTTAAGATGGCTGGGTGTAGGGTTAAGATAGATGGGTGGGGTTAAGATGGCTGGGTGTAGGTTAAGATAGATGGGGTGGTTTAAGATGGCTGGTGTTAGGGTTAAGATAGATGGGTGGGTTAAGATGGCTGGGTGTAGGGTTAAGATAGATGGGTGGGGTTAAGATGGCTGGGTGTAGCGTTAAGATAGATGGGTGGGGTTAAGATGGCTGGGTGTAGCGTTAAGATAGATGGGGTGGGGTTAAGATGGCTGGGTGTAGGTTAAGATAGATGGGTGGGGTTAAGATGGCTGGTGTAGGTTAAGATAGATGGGGTGGGGTTAAGATGGCTGGGTGTAGGGTTAAGATAGATGGGTGGGGTTAAGATGGCTGGGTGTAGGTTAAGATAGATGGGTGGGGGTTAAGATGGCTGGGTGTAGCGTTTAAGATAGATGGGTGGGGTTAAGATGGCTGGGTGTAGCGTTAAGATAGATGGGTGGGGTTAAGATGGCTGGGTGTAGGTTAAGATAGATGGGGTGGGTTAAGATGGCTGGGTGTAGGTTTAGATGATTAAGAGTGGGTGTGGTTTAATGAATGGCTGGGTGTAGGTTAAGATAGATGGGTGGGGTTAAGATGGCTGGGTGTAGGTTAAGATAGATGGGGTGGGGTTAAGATGGCTGGGTGTAGGGTTAAGATAGATTGGGGTGTGGGGTTAAGATGGATGGGTGTAGGGTTTAAGATAGATGGGTGGGGTTAAGATGGCTGGGTGTAGCGTTAAGATAGATGGGTGGGGTTAAGATGGCTGGGTGTAGCGTTAAGATAGATGGGGTGGGGTTAAGATGGCTGGGTGTAGGGTTAAGATAGATGGTGGGGTTAAGATGGCTGGTGTAGCGTTAAGATAGATGGGTGGGGTTAAGATGGCTGGGTGTAGGTTAAGATAGATGGGGTGGGGTTAAGATGGCTGGGTGTAGCGTTAAGATAGATGGGTGGGGTTAAGATGGCTGGGTGTAGCGTTAAGATAGATGGGTGGGGTTAAGATGGCTGGGTGTAGCGTTAAGATAGATGGGTGGGGTTAAGATGGCTGGGTGTAGGGTTAAGATAGATGGGTGGGGTTAAGATGGCTGGGTGTAGGTTAAGATAGATGGGGTGGGTTAAGATGGCTGGGTGTAGCGTTAAGATAGATGGGTGGGGTTAAGATGGCTGGGTGTAGGTTAAGATAGATGGGTGGGGTTAAGATGGCTGGGTGTAGGTTAAGATAGAAGGGTGGGGTTAAGATGGCTGGGTGTAGGTTAAGATAGATGGGTGGGTTAAGATGGCTGGGTGTAGGGTTAAGATAGATGGGTGGGGTTAAGATGGCTGGGTGTAGGGTTAAGATAGATGGGGGGGATTAAGATGGCTGGGTGTAGGTTAAGATAGATGGGGTGGGGTTAAGATGGCTGGGTGTAGGGTTAAGATAGATGGGTGGGGTTAAGATGGCTGGTGTAGGGTTAAGATAGATGGGTGGGGTTAAGATGGCTGGGTGTAGGGTTAAGATAGATGGTGGGGTTAAGATGGCTGGGTGTTAGGGTTAAGATAGATGGGGTGGGATTAAGATGGCTGGGTGTAGGTTAAGATAGATGGGTGGGGATTAAGATGGCTGGGTGTAGGTTAAGATAGATGGGTGGGGATTAA